AAAAAAACCACCAAAATATCAAAAAGCAATCAGATTTTTTTTTTGGATTATTAAACAAAAGACACACCTAGAAAAGGCCAAGCTGTAACCCTTTTTCACAATATCATTTAGCAGCTGACTACAGTCAGCTGATGCGAGGCAGTACCATTCCTCTAAAAGGTCACATAAAGCTCTGCAGAGGATGCTATTACCCAACATCAAAGTAGTGTCATTGGTGCAAGGGTGGAAACTGAAAGGATTAAACAAAAGTAACCCTCACTCCACAGCACCTCTAGGACAGACATGGTCTGAAGGCCCCTTCTAGATCCTAAAGCTAAAACTGCTTCTGTGTAAGAGAGGAGAATTCCCACTAATTCAAGGACCATGCACTGTCCCAGGTAAGGTGACACAGCATTCACAACCTCCCTGGGCAAACCATTTCAGTGCCTCACCACCTTACAGGAAAGAATTTCCTCCTTATATCCAGTCTAAACTTCCCCTGTTTAAATTTTAACCCGTTACCCCTTGTCCTGTCACTACAGTCCCTAATGAAGAGTCCATCCCCAGCATCCCTACAGGCCCCCTTCAGATACTGGAAGGATGCTATGAGGTCTCCACACAGCCTTCTCTTCTCCAGGCTCAACAGCCCCAACTTCCTCAGCCTGTCTTCATACGGGAGGTGCTCCAGTCCCCTGATCATCCTCGTGGTCCTCCTCTGGACTTGTTCCAACAGTTCCATGTCCTTTTTTTATGTTGAGGACACCAGAACTGCACACAATACTCCAGGTGAGGTCTCACAAGAGCAGAGTAAAGTGGCAGGATCACCTCCTTCGGCCTGCCTGTCACGCTCCTTTTGATGCAGCCCAGGATACAGTCGGCTTTCTGGGCTGCAAGTGCACACTGCCTGCTCATGTTCATTTTCTCATCAACCAGCACCCCCAAGTCCTTCTCCGCAGGGCTGCTCTGAATCTCTTCTTTGCCCAACCTGTAGCTGTGCCTGGGATTGCTCCAACCCAGGTGTAGGACCTTGCACTTATCATGGTTAAACGTCATGAGGTTAGCATCAGCCCACAAGTGTGTCAAGGTCCCATCAAGACACATCAGTTAAGACCAACAACATCATATTGTTCCAGTCATACCATTCCTCACTTATATGCTTTCTCCAGATCTCCATTTTCCACCACTTCTTGCTCTCATAGACCTTCACAAATCAGTCTCTTCTCCGTACTCATTCCCTAAAATTAATATCGCAGTAGGGAGGTAAAAGACAGGTAGTGTCATCACATGTGATGATGGAGATTATGTTGTGCTTCTGAGATATTCTGCTTAAGCTGCCTGAGAGAGGTGGCTCAGTGGCCTGAAGGAAGTGGTCTGAGGGATCCAGGCAAGTCCATAGAAATGGAAGTGGATGTGACAACCACTGTGTCATTCCAGAGGCTGCCAAACTTTGAATGTAACCACCACAAGGCAAGATGGCATGCTTGAATAAAAGCCAGTCCAAGGTTATTACAAAAACTAGATCAGAATAATATCCAGAGAAGAAAATTGTGTTAATGCCCAAGAAATAAAAGTTTTTTCAGAGAAGGACAACAACTCTGAAAGAAATGTTGTAGTCAGTGGAAAGGGATCAGAGATTCTAAGACACTAAGATTTGGCTTCTTGGAGATTTAATTGTTCAAATCCCCATCCTTGATGAAGATTAGCTCAGGAAGTCTGCCTTGCATTTTCTGCCTGGATACTGACATATTTGAAGTGTCTTACTCTGTTCAACTCGTAAAACTTCAAACTGCCCTCTAAAGTACACACTCAGCAGAGATTCCCCAGTGATTCCAACAACCTTAAGACATGACTCAAAAATGCTGTTGGTTAGAGAAATTTAAAATTTCCATCCATGTCATGGTAAGAAACAGGAACAATCTTCTTGGGGGCTGGGACACTGCAGGTTGTAATAACTCAGGAGATTAAAACTTTATCCCTCTGAGATGGATGGCTGGCAAGCCTTTGTTACTGGCAAGCCCAAATTTAAGATGGCGCCACAAGAACTCGCATATACTCCCTGACATAGTCACAACCCAAAAAAAAAACAACCCAACCTCAGTAATTAAACAGTATCAAGCATGTTAAGTTCCAAGTCTTACAAACCTCAGGCTTTCAAGACATCCTTGCCTAAGGAAGTCATCTGAGCAATAGACTAGTCTAGCTATGCACACTGCAGTGTCCTCTTTAGTGCCCTTGATTGCTATAACACCACAGAAAATGGGACGACTCTTCAGTCCAGGTCCCCATCTATTTATTATAGCAGAGGATGCCACAGCAGAGTTCTCAAGATATCTTGCTATAGGTTTAGCAGAGCTGAAGGGAGCCTTGAGGTCTGGGCTGGACCCCAGCTACATTTATTCTAGACCAGATCCAAAACTTCCCTTTCATTCTCCAGCTGCAAGTGGTACCTGCTGACTTGGGCTGGAAAATGGTGGATGGCTGGAAGTAATAATACATGGTGCATCATTCAGCCACTGTCAGTATTTATAAGAAGCAGTGTTCCATTACCACACTAGCCTCACGAGACAGTGGTTTTAATTTTTTTTTTTTAATGACCATAGAGAGTTGCAGTTATGATTTATTATACAAAGAGTGGGAATGAAAACACACAGAGAATCCCTCTTCGGGAAGCAGTGCAAAGGGTCAAAGAGAACAACAGCCTCCCATGCACCAGCATACATAAGAACAGCTCCTTCTCATGTTCTTTATAGACACAAATAAGAAAAACAGGTTGGGGACTGGAGGAAAAGCAGGAGGCCAAGGAGTTCATCCTGGAACTGGCAGACTGACAACAGGAGCAGCAGTAGGGTACAACAGCATTGTCCTTTTATGTTCTGCAAAGCTATGCCTGCTAAAACACAAGTCTGCAGGACTCTGCAACACAACCGTTCTCTGAGATGGGCCAGACTGGAACTACAGAAAATGCAAAGAAGAGCAAAATCAAACACACAATCAGCAGAAGGATGCCTTCAGCTGCACACACAAAGTACACGTATACAGTCAATATCCCATACTTCCTCATGCCAAATGCCACTAGGTCTGCGAAACAGACTGATAAAAAAATATTACAGGGGCATCTACCACATAGAACATTGTGAAACAGAATTCCCAAAATCTTCCATTCTGACAAAGTTCTATATTACCAGCTTAATAAAGTCAGAAAAATACCAGTAAGTGAGGAAAGTGGAAGGCTGCTGAGCAAGGTTTGGCACACTTCTTTGTGATGGCAAAAAACTGAAGCCACATCTACTTTGTTCTGCCTCTGGGATCCAGTTAACCCTGGCTACAGGGCAGAGCTAATTGCTTCTCTCTAAAAGGTCTTAGGATAAGGCAGAAGAGGTGAAGGGAAGCCAATCAACCTTCAAATACATTACCATCTGCTAACAACCACTCCAAGTAGTGGCTTAGCATTTGTTTTGAGGGCAGCTTAGCAGCCCCTCTCTGCAACAATGAGAACAGGCTTATGAACAGTCTCCTGGTGATGAGAGGGAGGGCAGCAAAGAGAAAAGAAAGAAAAGGTAGTACACCTGCAGATGCATACAGCATCTAATGCTTCATGTAAGGAATCTTTTATATTTATGAACACTAAAATATAATGCATATCGCTAGTGAAAATCACATTTTTTTCCAGCAAGGTTCTGAGCTTATAAAGAAAAAAGATGAAGCTGACCAGGAAGGCAGGCAGCTAATGTCCCTCAATCCGCATTTCATAAACATTAACAGGAAACTTATTCTAGATACAACGTTTGACCTTAAAGGGCCCTCACTACACTGCCTGAGATCTGGCTCAAGTAAATTGCTCCCAGAGCTATTCTGAGGGCATCTGTGGAAGAAAAAACATCACACCTTCCCTCTGCACTAAATATTAATGTCTAGGCAGACAAAAGCAGCAGTAGGAATACCATAATAATACCACCAACAGACACCGTATATGTTTCTTCGGAGCATTCACACATCAGCACTACGAATATGCCTATTGTCCCATATAAAACAACTTGTTCTGAGACGTTCCTCTGGGAATCACAGATGTTATTTATATTTTCAGTCACTTAAAAGGATTAAAGTGTGTTTATTCTCAGTAATCTCTTTTGTAGAGAGAGAGATATACAGGCAGCAGCAGCATACATTTTAACCCTGTTGGGAACGATCAAATGCACAGCACCATTTAGAGCCAGCTGCCTTCTTCTTGTCAGTATTGGGGAGCTCTGAAAGTCTCACCAGCCTGGCCGCTTTTATTAAAACTATTTATACGAACTGCATGTTGCAGGCACTTGTGATAAACAACTCCAGGAGCTCTTGGCGACAATACATACACACATAAACCTTGGTGCATACAGCCAAGAGATCCACCTGAAAATTAAACCACATGTCAAGCAGACGGATCATAATAATTGCTTTAGGCTGGAACAAACTACAGTCTCTGGTTGAAGACACAGAAGGACTGAAGACACAGCTATACACCGTGCTCTGGGTTAAAAGGGAACTTCTAAGCCGGGCTTGTGAAACAGAAGGTGTGCCAAAGTATTGGGGTGGTGGCAAAACGAGTAGTTGGCCAGGAGACTGAAGCGCAGAGAGAGTATCCTGATCAAAATAATCATAGCTGCAGGCTGCGGGGAATGGCAGCCTCTGCCTGAGGAGACACTGGTGCAGTGCAAGGCAGGCCGCAGCAGGCGGCAACGACTGCCCGAGATAAAAGAGGCTCAAGTTGCGCTAAGTGTGCGGCTGGGGAGCGGCCCTCCTCACAGCCGACATCCCTGCCCGGGAGTCCCGCTTGGCCACCTCCCGGTTGCCGCACGCTCGCGGTTTCCTCCTCACGTTGCCCCAGGCTGATCAGGCTGGCAGCCGGCTCTCGGCAGAGGATGCCTGAAAGCGACCCCCGCGCAGACCCCCTCTGCCGGCATCGGGACCGGGTCCTCTTACCCTCTCCCGCCCAGGACCGGGCCCTTCCCCGGCCACCGCCTCCCCGTGTGGTGGCTCCTTACCGGTCTCTTTGTCCTGGGCGGCTTCCAGGTGTAGGTCGCTGAGCAGATGCTCCAAAATCTTCTCCGGCGTCCCCGACACCACCACGTATCTGTCAGAAAGCAAAGAGTCCCCGGAGTCATCCTCGGTGGAGGACTGCGAGCGGCTGCTCCACTCGTCCTCCTCATCCTCTTCGTCGATGTACTTGAAGTAAGGCACGTCGAAGGTGGGCAGCGACCGCTCCCCGCAGCAGCCCGCCAGCGCCTCGGGCACCCGCACCCTGCCGCTCCCCATGGCCCCGCTCCCGCCGCACCCTCCCCCTCAGGCGCGCCCGGTGGGGGCCATTGCCCAGCCGGGGACCGCAGTCCCTCCAGCCCCACCGCCGCCGCCGCGGAAGCCGGCCCGGCCGGCCAAGCTCCGCGCTCCCGGGGCCGCGGAAGCCTTACCTCCCGCGCCGCTCGGGGGCTGGGCTGCGTGACCACACCTTCCTCAGCACCAGCGCTGCGCCGGCCTCCTCCCGCGCCCGCTCACCGCCGCCTCCATCGTCCGCCTTCCGTGCGCAGGGGGGAGAGCAACACAGAGCCCGCGGTCATTGCCCAGGGCCGCCCCACACCTCAGATATCTGAGGGGCAGAGGGGAGGAACGAGCTCCCCTTTGGAAGCGGTACTCGGCAGCTTGCGCTGGATTTTAACTCGCAAGAGCCGGGTTTGGGGTGCGGGTTTCCGTGTCCCCGAGGTGATGGCTTATTTAATACCCAGCCGATCAAATAAAGCGGGGGACAAGCAGCAACAGTCAAAAGCGGCAAGAGCTCCCAGCACTCCAGTAATACAGAGGCAGAACACACATTCTGTAAAGCATCTCTACTGGACTTCAACAAAGGCAATAAACCTAGTGGAATAGGCATGCAATGTGTGAGCATCTCTTCAATCCGTGTACGAATCCCTGCGAACAACTTTTAAACTTGGAAAACAAGCACCCCACAGAAAGTTAAGCCCAGTGACCACCCGGTGTGTGAATCGCAGCTAAACTGGGATTTGAACACTGACTTTCTCCCCCTCGGCTTCCTGAAAATGAAGGGAGCTGAACAATCATCCATTTCTGCACACGCAGCCCACATCCACAGAGCTGCTAACACCAGCTGACTGGGCACCACAGGAGATGAGGGTTTGCTGCTGAGCAGGGCACATGGAGATCGCCAAAGATCTGCCCTCCCGGCAGTTTCAGTCCACCAGAGTGTGAGCGACACAAAAGAGTTGTGTTTCTACGCAAGTACATCCAGTTGCTGTTCCTCTAATTCTGACCTGGTTTAGTTATATTGTTCAGTATGTTAAACACACGTATGAAGGCATGTAATACTCAAAGGAGAAAAAACAGCATTTGTGCATCAAATGTAGAGTCTCTGGCAGTGACAAAGACTTTAAGAGGGGTAGAAATTGCTGAGGAACAGAGCTTGGCAAAACAAGGGAGGGAAACCACTTTATGGTCTCTCTTTCTATTATTTTATTTCTTATTCCAAAACCAGTGAGTCTGATAGCTGCTTCTGGTTGTCACAGGGGCACAGGTATGTCCAAACGTGCAGCCCTTGCCCTGAAGAAGTTTTCTTTTATCAGTAAACAACATGTAGAATTGATCTATTAAATTTCTGCAAGGTCAGACATACAGGTACTGAGCCAATTAATGTCAGATATTCATTGTAACACTCCCAGGGGACATTACTGAGCAGCCACAGGAATACTGATGCATAATTGTAATCTTCCATTTCATCGGATGTGGGGGGTTTTTTTGCCCAAGCATTAGACAAGATGGAATGAGAGTAGCACCAAAAGAAGAGAGGAAGAACAAGAAAGAGGTGCCACATTAAAGCAATTCAGTAACAGGGAGATTTATCAAAACAAATAAATCTTTCCATTTCCCTGCCTTTCCTCTGTTATCCTCTAAAATAGCTCAAATCCTCATTTCCCTGTGCCCTCTGAGATTCCCAACTGCAGCACATATGGGGCATGTATGTGATGTATTTGTACAAACCATCTCTTTCCATATATATGAGAATGGATTTTAAGTGTACCCATACATACATTACATACTCAAGCAGCTGGCAGCAAGTCAACTGGGAGCACTGGGAGTGCGAAAGCTCTCTCATACTGAAAGGACATTAACAATGGCTACTCTGGAAGATGGCGTTCCCCCTTCAGCATCTCACCAAGCAGACACATTCTCAAAAACCCTTCTCAAACACAAAGTTTGGACTTCCAGTTAATTAAAAGAGGAACCAACACTCAGAATCTGCTGCCTCCTCCCGCTGCTAGAAATAGGAAAGCTGCTCTGCTTTCTAACAGGAAAAAAAAAAAAAAAAAAAAGCTCTGCAATGGACATAGTATATTCAGAAGCCGGCTTCACTGAATAGAAATTGCATTTTCACATAATTCCTCCACAGGACAGGACACCTCTGCAGTACTAAAGCACCTGTTAGGTTGGAACACTGCTAGCTACCAATGCAAACTATGCAACTATGCACTTCCCAATGACAGAACTCTTCTTCAACATCTCCCCACCTGCTTTTTTGTTAATAAAGAGATCAGACCCAGAGCTACTCCAGAAAAACCCAGATCCAGAGACTCTCACATTGATGGTTTCTATGGGTAAAGAAGCAATACAGCTATTAAGAGATAACCTATAAGGCACCTATAGACTTAAGAAAGCATAGAAAATCCAGTCTGGAGACAGATTTTCCTGCTGCCAACCAAGCAAAGGCAAAGAGACTCTTCTATGGGCAACACACAACAAAGCAAACTTTACACAGGCTGCTCTGAAATCACATCAAGTAACAAAGAAATTGCCTCCTCTAGGAGTTATGGAGAGCAGGAAAATTTTGTTTTCATAGCATAATTTGGTAGAACTAACTCAGCACAATCAGATAATGCCTATCACTTCTGCCTCTGTCTTCTGATGCTGGTGCCAGGGCATGCCCTTGAGAGGTAGGGGAAAAGGCACATATGAAGGATTCCTGCCCCTGTGTTCTGGAGACAAGACTGCTCCCCTCAGTGAATTCCTGGAGCTTTCCCTCACACATGGGAATACTTCCATGTAAGAGGTCTGAAATATAAAACTGACACAGGAAGGGGCTGAGAAGCGCAAGTGTGGAGGGGCTGCCACTGCAGCACATGGAATGCGCTCAAATAGGTGAGAGGGCAGAACAAAAGCCACAAAATAACACGTTCCTCATTTCAGAAGAATAATTGTTTTCCTGGGCAGATATCTTTTTGCTTGGCTATTATAATCAATTCCAGGCACATATTAGCAAACAAAGAATTAGAAGGACACTATTAAGACAGAAAGGTCAAGGCTGAACACTGGGAAACACTGACAGATAGTCTTTAATTTAGCTCCATCCCTACAGCTCTACCTTCATATGCATATGAATGCATATAGCTCTACCTTCAGTTCAGCATATGTTGAGGACTGGGTCCAGGCAGAGACAAAAGGTCCTTGTCTGTGGGGACCCTGCTGTACCCACTGCAAAGGTTGGAAGCACCTGCCTCCTCAGTGGGACACTGAGATCCCCAAACCTGCCCACTGAGAGCCAGCCTGGACACAGCAAAAGTTATAGAGGTACAGCTGCTTTACCACAGAGCTCCATCCAGGCTCACTACATCCTACATCATAACAGCTGGGAGATAACAGCTATAAAGAAAAGCCTTCACAGCTCATGCTGTAGCATGCTCAAAGCTTAGCAAGCCTTCAAATACTAACCTGCAGAGCTCTAGAAACTCTTCACAGAGCATGTACAAACTGTATTTTTTGGCCTCTAACTTGAGCCAGATTTGGGCAGATATTTATGAAGATGGCAAAAACCCAAAGACTCTTTCCCAAAGGGATTTCGGATCCCACTTCAGAAGTACAAGGGCACAAGAGCTTTCCAGAAAACTACTGCCAGAATTCTTTTTAACATAGCAAAACAGTATTTATGCCTAACCTTACTCTTAGCAGCTTCTGAACCAAGTTGACTGTATCTTTCATTAAAAAATTAAATAGGCAGAGGCAGACACCTTTCAGAATAAGTAGATAAGATACAACAACTCTTAGAAACAATAGAAAAAGCAGTCTTAGAGTATGATGCATTTGCCAGTGCTAATAGTAGACAGTGAGATGAGCCCTGGCTGTAAAACAGAAATATATTTATATCACAAACATGAAACAAAGTACAGAAAAAAACCCCAACATTTTATTAACAGCTCCTCCTGTAAGAAACAATCTTTCAGGCAGCATCTATCAAAGATTAATGATGATTGCCTGCTTACACTTCATTATGTTTTTCCCTGGAATCTGCTATTGTGCAGACTGCAGAATTAGATTTAAAGTCATCAAAGTACAAACAGATGTACAAAAATCCCTCTATTCTTTACAGGTTATTCCTTTTTATTTGACAAGGAAATGGAAATGAACACATGAAAATTAAAGTGCAGATGGACAACAATATCTCTGACCTCTCTGGATAATCCATCTCAGAAAAAGTTGCTGTGTTTCACAGAGTGTTGAGCAAGACCAAAATCTACATTAACAGGTTTGATTCACTATCAACTACAGCCGGAAAAAAGCATTTCAAAGTCACCAGCACAGCTTAACCCAGCTATATAAGGAGACTGGTCTTTTTTTTCTGCAGTGGTTGCCCTCTTCTTTATTCTAGAAAGATGAAAATAAATATATCTACTATTCTACCTGTATTTAAAGTATCACAGCACAAAACGTTTTCAATGGGATTTCCTATTTTGCAGTCAGTTGCATGATCATCACTTTTCCCAAATTTCAGGGGAAAAATTACTTTACAGGACTGCAGGAACATCAACAGCAGCTTCTCATGTGGCAATTCTTAAGAATCAAAAATTTCTTACATAAGACTGCATTATTTTATTTCACTATAAAATACAGCTCATAGCATATACATATTACATTCATTATTTTTCTCATCTCGTGAACTTTTTCCACTTATTCTATCTATTTCTCTCTTCAGTCATTCAATCTACTTTCATAAACGTGCTAATTCACAGTATACTGTGAGAAACATAAATCCATTAATGCTATTAAAATGCCTTATGCAGTGATGTTTTGGCTCTCAGTGACTTCTGACCAGTCTATAAAACCATTAAATGCTTTAAATGACTCAATCACCACATCTGCCACCAAATGGCACTCAGGGATCACATCAAAACTTCCCAGTGGTCTCACACTGAGCTATCTGTCTTGGAGTTGCAAAACAAAGGGCCGACATTTGGCTCAAAATAATCTCCTCTGAATTTGTCAGCTTTACAAATAGTGGTAAAAATAGCATGAGCCACATAATGGGAAAAAAATAAATCAAAATCCTTTGTTGCTGAAGCCAATTCCGAATATCACATCTGATAATGCACAGAACAAGCCCTTTTAGAAAAAATGTTGGGGTTCTCATCTACATACCGAGTATCTGCAAGAAAGGCAACATTAATACCAAGTTATCCTTGTAGAGGAGTCAAAAGGACAGTGCTGCTAAGAGATGACAGACAACAAGCTTCAAGGAAA